CCTCATCAGTCACCAATATAATGGATAGAGCTTCAGGTATAAAGATTGTTTATACATTAAAAATAATAATAATAATTTTGTAATTTGAAAATTATAGCAGATAGTGATTGACAACTCACAGTTTGACTTGCATACAATGCTTTTCTAGTTTTATGTGTACTAATATTTGTAGACTCAAAATTCATTTCGGTGATCTTTATGTCTCGAAAGAATTAGTCTTTAAATGTCAGCTGAAAATATCTTAAAAAAAAACTCAAAAAAAAAAGCAATACTTGTAGAGTCCAGTTTGGCTTGAACTGTTTTGAGGTTTAGTATAACAAGACAAGGAGGTCATGACTCGCCATTAAACAATCTGATCCCTTAGTATTGTATTTTTTTAAATTTCTTTTTTATCCCTTTTCCAATTTTGGCCACATAAATCTTCAAACACGTCATTATTAATTATGATAGTAAAAAAAAAACAGAAAAAACCAAATTTTGGGACAAAACTGTTCTTGTTATTTGTTAAGTCCTGATTGGTATGCGCTTTCCAGTTTCCATAACGCGGCAATGCAAATTGCCGTTTATTGTTGACTAATAGAGAGCCCTGTGAAACTTCTGCTCATTTTAGTCAACAACACCGTCTCTTGTCCAATCTTCATTTCATAAATAATTATTCAATTGCAATCGCAGAGAAAAAACAAGACGGTGGATATAAACCACATAATTAGATGGAGTAATGTATAATTTTTATCCAATATTCTGTATTTTTTTTCAATAGCTTTTATTTAACAAATTTTTACATACAATTGATCAGTTAAAGTTTTATTTAAAGGGTGTCGAAGAAAAAAAGTTTTATTAAATGACTTGTATACACTAAGAGTCTATTTGGATCCTCTTATTTGTAAGCTAGAAGCTACTTATAAACTAAAACTAAAAAAATAGCTTAAAAAAAGAAGCTAAAAACTGTTTGAAAATTACATAAAAATTTTAGCTTAAAATTTACTTAAAAGCATATATTTCAAGAAAATTATCTTTCTCTATCTTTATCACTCTTCATTTAAAAAAAACACACAATTCAAGAAAAACAGATAAGAGCTTAAAAAAAAGCTCCTCCTAAGAGCTCGTAGTTTTCAATTTTTTTCTTCATTATAAAAAAAGAGCTTTTCATTTAAGAGTTTCTCTCAAAATCTGTTTGGCCTAACTTATGCTTATAAGGAGCTTCTAACTTAAAAAAAGAGAGGATCCAAACCGCCACTAATTGTGTACATACGGTACGTTATGCATTTCATAACTAATAATCCAATAAGATAACACGATGATATTTTTTCTTTTAAATTTTTAATAATCCAGAAATAGTTACGACACTCTGAATTTTTTAATTATTAATGAATTATAAAATAGGAGATGATCATTTTTTTCCCCATATATTTGATGTAAATCTCGTAATTTTAAAATTATTTTTGACCGAACCTAATTACTTTGGGTGACACATTTGGTGACTTTTTGCTTCTCATTCCCCATAGTTACGACACTCTTTTCATTCTTTTATTTCTAGTTAACACATTTGGTGACTTTTTGCTTTGGGACAAAAGAACTTGAATAATTTAACCACGGTGATAAATTTAAAACTTGAAGTATTTGTCCCAACCATATAATTATAAAAAGTTCTATTACTGGCATACTCGATCGCATTTCGCTGTACTGTAACTATTCTCTTTTCATTCTTTTATTTCTAGTTAACACATTTGGTGACTTTTTGCTTTGGGACAAAAGAACTTGAATAATTTAACCACGGTGACAAAAAATTGACCGCAACAATATTTTTTTAAGTTATTTGTACAGTGTCGTGACAACTAGAAAAATAAATGCACTGTGTTCGTATCAAAAGTTTTGACCGGTTATCAAATTTGTGTTGTATTAAGTTGAAGTATTCATATTCGTGTCAAATTCAAATCCTGTCATATCGTATCGTGTCATAAATTTTAAATTTGATACCAAATCTTAACTGTTGATTTTCACCGATCAATGATAATAATTTTGGCTAATCACTTATTAATTAATTATTAATTTTTAATAAATGATAATCGTTGATTGACGAAAATCGATTAAGATTTGGTGTCAAATTTCAAAATTTAACACCGATGTCAAATAATTCTATATGTTTACTAATCAAGGGACCTCGAATACAAGAATAGATCCTCTTGTGTTAAAATTTCACATGAGACTATATGTTAATCAAGATAGAGATAGATATAATTGTATATATATCTCTCTTTACATGCATTAAATAAGTGGAGTCTAATCAATATTGATGAAAATAGAGATTAACACAAAAATTTCATATCATCTTGTAAAATCTTAATGGGTTATATTTATCCCATGTTACATAAGAGAAGTCAATTTTCTACCCACACAAAAGAGAGGTGGATCCCACCTCTATTTTTTCTCTTTCCTCTTACATGTGGGTCCCACTTATAATTTTGTTTATATTACATAAGAGAAATTTTTTCCTATGACATAAGAAAATTATTTTCCAATCTTAATATGAGAGAATCTATCTAGAGCCAATACTCTCATGGTCACTAGTACAGAATTTCAATGCCATAATTTTGGAGTGGCTAGTACGTAAACATTTTTTTTAACGAACACAAGCCAATCCCTGATAGAGAAAAATTAAGATACAGAAATATAACTCACAATGTTTGAAGAGGGAATACAAATTTCATAGACTGACTCAAACTTAATATAAACCAGAAACTAAAACTGAAAAACATAACATTAAGAGACACATTACACCCAAATAAACTCTAACTTAATGACTCATTATACTACCCAAAACTGACTCATTATGATACCGTTAAGACTCATCAAACAACTTTAGTGCAGCACATGGCCGTTACATCAAACTTAAAAGACCATTGAATTTTCTAACGGACAAAAAACAAAGAGACTCTAACATTCCCTCCCTTAAAGTGATGTTCTTGAAAAAATCAGTTTACTCCAAATCCTTTGACTTTCTCCATGGAACACATGCCAAGTAATCCCCTGAGCTTTTGAAACGCAACATATTTGAGAGGCTTTGTAAACAAATCAGCAACTTGATCCTCACTTCTACAAAAAATAAGATCAATTATACCAGCCTTTGTAAGATCCCTTAAGAAATGATACTTCACATCTATATGCTTGCTTCTCCCATGTAAAATTGGATTCTTTGACAATTTAATTGCAGAATTATTGTCACAATAAATTAAAGTTGCTCCTTCTTGCTTAAAGTGAAGTTCTTCAAGAATTCTCCTTAGCCAAATGGCTTGGCATGCACAAGCTGTAGCAGCAACAAATTCAGCTTCTGTGCTTGACAAAGTGACAATTGGTTGCTTCTTCGATGCCCAAGAAATAGCACCTGTACCAATCATAAAAACATAACCTGATGTGCTCTTCCTGTCATCTTGATCTCCTGCATAATCACTGTCAGTAAATCCCACTAAATCAGATTTTACACCCTTCTTGTAAAATATCCCGAAAGTTCTTGTTCCTTGCAAGTAGCGAAAGATTCTCTTGGCAGCCAACAAATGTATTTCTGTAGGATTTTCCATATACCTGCTAATTAAACTCACAGAATACATTATGTCTGGTCTTGTTGCAGTGAGATACATCAAACTTCCCACAATTTGTTTGTAGAAGGGGCTGTCAACCTTCTTTCCTTATGAACATACACTCTTTGTTAAGATTGGTGATGAAGGAAAAATGCTTATTGTTTGCTTATATGTAGATGATCTTATATTCACTGGAAATTGTGATGTTATGTTTGAAGAATTTAAAAAGTCTATGATGAATGAGTTTGAAATGACTGATCTTGGTATGATGCATTACCAAGATCAATTGTGGATTTCACACTTGAGGGGGAGATTGTTGGGATATCAAGTGTGATGAGTCCCACATTGGTTGGTAATGAACTAAGTGAAGTGTATATAAGTGAAAGGACTCATGAACCCAATGCCTTAAGGTTTTGGGTTGAGACATGGTGTCGGATCCACTTGCTACGGTTGGTGTAGCTTTAGCTCATTGGTGGTGGCCCCCGCCACGGGCTTCCCCTGGACCCGCTTGACATTGGAGTTTGAGGAAACGAAATTCCCAACAATCCCACCCAAAAAATAAAAGCTAGTAATCGCAGCAAGATAGTAATTGACAATCATAATCTATATTGTGCAACTGCAATTTATTGGACGATTTATTGTTTGAGAAGAATCAACAACCAAAATTACATGAATGAGTTGTCTTCTAGATATATTCAAAAGATTTTAGACATAATGTGGTTTTGTTACATTCTTATTCTAATAGCTCTGAAAATAATATTTTTCCCAATTGGAATGCCATGCGTACAATTTAATTTATACCAAAAAATAAAATAAAAATAAAAAAGCAGACACATGAAAGAGAAGGAACCACTTCCTGGCCAACATTGGTATGCTCGATCTTTATGATCCCAACTTCAAATCTAAGTTTATATTGTGAGATCATCAAATATCAATAGTAGTGACCGCAGAATTACTTGAAAGAGCACAATTTGAGCCATGGCCTGCACATAAAGTGATACTGTGAGACATGAAAGAATCAAAGTACAATATTAATACGTATGAATGAAAAATAAGTTTGATCCTTAAATTGATCTTTTTTTTCTAAAGTTTGAGAAATTTAATTATCCAATAAATTTCAATTCTGTCTATTTTGATTGGGGAAAAGTTGCTATTATTTTTTGAATCAAAATCATCGTGATTTAAAAAAATTTTCAACGTGAGGATTAAGATTAGATCCAACCCCACGTCCCCTCCCCACCACCACATGCCAGTGTTAAAAGAATCCATCCAAAGTTGCACTGTTTCTGCCAGCACAATTAAATAAACAAATAATACATATAAAAAGAAAAAAAGAAAAGAAAAAAAGTTGTTCTGTTTTCACATTCTTCAACTCACTATTCACTCCATCTTTTTCTATCTCTCTCTCTCTAAGACACGCCAATAGTAACAGACACATTATATAAGTCTTTGTTTCAGACAACTTTTTCTGCACTCTTTGTCCTTTTGCCTTCAACAAAATTCTGGTTTTGAGTAAGGATCGAAACCCAAGAAAATGGGTTTCTCGTTACCAACTCTAATCCTGTCTCTTCTTCTTCTTCTGTTTTCCCACCAATCAAAGGCTGAGAATTTGGACTCCTTAAGCAATAATGCAACCATTTCTAGTAATGGCAGAAAGCTCGCAGGAAGTTGCAACTTGTTCCATGGCAAATGGGTGTATGACACTTCATACCCTCTCTACAACCCTTCTACATGTCCCTTCATAGATCCACAATTCAATTGCCAAAAGTACGGTCGTCCTGATAAACTCTATGAGAAATATAGGTGGCAACCATTCTCTTGTCCCTTACCAAGGTTTGTACTTTCACTACTTCTGCTTCAACCCTTTTAACTATTTTCATGTATGGCTAAATGGGTGTCAAGTGTTTCTGCAGGTTCAATGCATTGGATTTTCTGGTTAAATATAGAGGGAAGAAGATTATGTTTGTTGGTGACTCTTTGAGCTTAAACCAATTCAATTCACTTGCATGTATGATTCACTCTTGGGTGCCAAAAACCAGAACTACATTCACAAAACAAGACACTCTTTCCACAGTGACATTCCAGGTTGGTTGTGTTTTTTTTTTCTTTCTTTTATTGTTTTTCATCTTTTGAAACTTTTGCGTCAAATGGTAGTGTTGGAAATGATGATTGTCCTTCCAAGTGGTGTCGTTTTTCTATCATATGATGATTGTAATAGTTGTGTGTTAAATTCCCATTTGTATTAAGAAAAAAAAAAAAAAAAACTTTTGAGTATTTGCCTTATTTGAACTCAAATTCTGCTACCTCCAAGTCTGATCCATTTTGGTATGAGGCGGCTGTGCTCAAAACTTGATTTTTGTGCATATTTTTGTGTGTGTGTTGCTGTTAAGCACTGAGCAATAAAGTTTGGAGTCGTGAGTGGTAGGTTCACTTTTCCTTTTGCCGGGGATATTTCTGATTGTTAATTTAGAGGTTAATAAATGTATGTGTCTTAGTTGTTATATTTATTATGATACTTTATTCGAACAGTTACTTTTTCTACCAATTTCGAACGTGCACATAATTTTCTAAGCTAGATCAAAACAAAAAAGAATTAATTAAACAAAAACAAAGTGGAGATCTTTTACTATGAAATTAATCCAGTTTGCTTAAACTACAATATTTTCTATTTTCTATTCTAACACTGCTTTTTTTTATTTTTCTTGTTCATGTGTATAGGAATCCTCAAAACTTTTTTTTTTCTTTCTCAATTGGTGCTTCCAATTATCAATACCTTCTTGCTTTTTATAGAAACTTTGGTAAACAAATGTCTTAATTAGCAATGATTACTGTTGGATATCTAGTTTGTTCTCCATATCTTTGCCCTGTGCATAATAACATCAATCCCGGCCTAGTATTCGCCAGCATTCCAACCACCATCATCATTGGTAACTAAATAATGGACAGAACGGTACTCAGCTAACCCATTCTTCTTCGCATGATCCGTAATGATTGATAATTTAATGTTTGCTTTTTCTTTTTTCTTTCCTCTTATTTAAAATGATCTGAACGATTGATTACCTGCTTTTTATGTTAGCCATGCCAATTATGTAAGCTTCAATCATGCTATTTGCATTATATTGCATATATAATTTCACATAATTGCATATGGGTTCTTTTAGCTTAATAGAACAGAAAAAGTTTTAAATGTGCCATTTAAAATATATCTAATTATACAAAACAGCAACAGTGATTTTACTCTTTCTGGGTACGTTTGTGGATATAACAGTATAATTAGTAAGTGCAACATTCATTTATATTAATGTAAGAATAATAAGTCTTATATCAAATTTTAATCATATAATAGTTATAATTTATTGAAAATTAATAATTAATTAATTATTATAATATTAATCATATAATAGTTATAATTTATTGAAAATTAATAATTAATTAATTATTATAATCTAATAAATTGTAATCGTTAGATTTATAGAAATCAATAATTAAAATTTAGAATAAGACTTTTTATTCTTACATATCACTGTTACGTTTAGTCGTTAATCACTTCCAAAATGGACCACTTGACACTAGTGGCTTGATTCATACGCAGTCCTCTGCTTCCACGACTTTTTCTTTTTAGTGTAAAAAATTGGGCCACTTCTTTGTGATAAGGAAGGATCTTCTTTTTCTTCTAGCTATTTTTATTCCATGGTCTTTTTTTTTTTTAAACCTAGTGGCCAGAGAAGAAATTACTATAAAGAAATTGTATTACAAAATATAAAATCATTAATATAATTTTAAGTGATCAGTAACCAAGTAATCACGAAATGGATCATCATTGTCTTAAGTTATTCACAAATTCTCAATATAAATATTAATTTATTTTCCCCAGGACTATGGTCTCCAGTTATTACTATATCGCACACCATATTTGGTAGACCTTGACCATGAGAATGTTGGACGGGTTCTTAAGCTGGATTCAATAAAGAGTGGTGATGCTTGGAGAGGGATGGATGTTCTGGTATTCAACACATGGCATTGGTGGACCCACACAGGGAATTCACAGCCGTAGGATCAATCTTTCGAATCATCACGTCATAATCAATTTTGTTATTATTATGGGGTGAGTAACACTGATTTTTTGTTTTCATTGAAATTCCACTGCAGGTGGGATTATATTCAAGAGCGTAACAAGTTGTACAAAGACATGAACCGTTTCATTGCTTTCTACAAAGGTTTGACAACTTGGGCTAGATGGGTTAACATAAACGTAAATCCATCACAAACCAAAGTCTTCTTTTTAGGAATTTCTCCCGTGCATTACATGTAAGTTTGTTTATATTTCAATCTAATTGATTAATGAGAAATATGTCTTTCGTGTTGTTGTAAGAGACAATTTTATCTCATTCATACATGAAAAATAGATACATGAAAAATAGATGTGACCCACTTCTTTCTCCTTAGTGGATTTCATCTACATGTATTGCATATGACAAAATTACGAGAAATATATTCTTCTTGATTAATATATGTACTAAGCTGCATCTATATTTTATACTAATTTAAACTAGTATTGGTTTTTATTAACCATGCATGGTGGTGTATATGATGTGGTTAATTAGGGGGAGAGATTGGAATCAACCTGAAAAATCATGCATGAGTGAGACAGAACCATTCTTTGGTTTGAAGTACCCTGCAGGGACACCTATGGCTTGGGTGGTGGTGAACAAGGTTTTGAGCAGAATAAAGAAGCCAGTGTCTTTCCTTGATGTGACTACACTCTCTCAGTACCGGAAAGATGCACATCCTGAAGGGTACAGTGGGGTTATGCCAACAGATTGTAGTCATTGGTGTCTTCCAGGACTTCCTGATACTTGGAATGTGCTTCTTCATGCAGCTCTTTTTGGTTAGAGGAAGCAGTGACTTTGCAACTTGGTTTATTAGGTCCAATTTATTAGAGGAAAACCCATTGTTTTCTACTGTAGGAAATATTTAATTGGGCATTTTGTTTTCTTGGAATTGGACAATAAAAGAATTTGATGCTCCAAATTGTAAATTTTCATATTATTTTGGCATAAACATGCCTTTATTGTACCAAATACCCCCTTTGGAATATTGAAAAGCATTTGCAGTTAACTTACCTTTGGAATGACGTGCTGCTGGATGGTTGTGACTTGTGAATAGAGTACTTTATGAAAGTTCTCTTTCTTGAAGCCTAAGAATAAAAAAAACATTCTATTTCAACTATTTAATAAAAAGAAAGTGGTTTCTTTATTGTCACGATTACACCAAACAGTGAGAAAAATAAAACAAATGATGATAACTTCAATAGAAAAAGAAAAAAGGTTATAGCTAATGGAAGCAAAAATGAGTGTTTGATAAAAAAACAAAACTGTGGGGAATGGTTGTAGCTTGTATTGGTAAATCAGTTTACATGGCAAGTGCTCTGAAATTTGTTCGGGTTGGGCTGTGTAATGGGCTTATAAGTTTCAGTCCATTTCCCAAATGGAACCCAAATAACTAAAGATATGCTAAAGTGCCCACTAAGAGGTATTACCAATAGAGGTGGCAAAGTGGGCGGCCCGCCCCGTCCGCCCCATCCCGCCATCAACCCGTCAAAAAATGAGTCAACTCGTCTCGTTTTGCTTTTAAAGGTGGGCTGAAAAACTCAGCCCGTCCCGTTCCGTTTGGCGAGTTGGGAGAGTTGGCCCGCCAGCCCGAGCCTATTTTACACTAACCCGTCTCGGCCCGCCAATGCTCGCCGTCAACCCGCCAAAAAATGAGCCCGCCTCACCCCACCCCATTTTTAAGATGGGTTAAAAAACTCAGCCCACTTCATCCCATTTAATGGGTTGGATAGGTTGGCCCCCCTGATGTGAGCCTGTTTTGCCGGGTGTAATTACTAATATAAAAAGTAATAATGCCAATGATGAAATCCTTGTTTTACATGTACGAAAGGTGAACATTCATGTAATAAAAAAAGAAAAAAAGGGTTAACATTCTATATAACTCATTGGGGCCAGGTGTCTTCCATTTATTGTACTCATTCCAACGAAGCACCCCAAGTTTGCACGTGTCTTAATCAGGGAAGCCCTCAAATCCAAATATCCAATGATCCTAATCTCAGTATGTATTCGACTGTACACGCTGGCTGAGTCATATCAATTAGTTCCAAGACCCTCACACGTTGCATTAACCCCCAGGTCTTGTTCCACATGTCCTCTTTCATGCAAACACATCCAACACCAACCTTATCCATTTTCTTCTTTTAAATCACTTATACATGCGCATGCAAACTTCAGATATCTGTGTCTTCAAACACAACAGAGATTGTTCTTTTGAGAGTTTAAGTAGAAAAAAAAGAAAACAACTAACATGGCGTCTGAGCAACTTTCTAGCAGAGACAACACTACGACAGAGGGAGAGATTCAAGTTGAGAAACACACAGTTCCAAAGATGACCACACACTTTGAGCACCTTGCTGAGCAAGCAAAAGAATCTGATGTTACCGGTGGGAAGGAGACACCACAGGGTAGCATAGAAGTGTTGCAAGGTGGCGAACGCAACAAAGAGCATGGTGGGAAAGCCATTGGTGATGTTGGTGGACGTGGGAAAACAAGAGAGACTCATGAATTGGGAACTCAGTTTGAGTCCCTCGTTGATAAAGTGAAGGGTGAAGATCGCAAGGAGAAGAAAGAGAGTGACCGTAGTGGTAATATAGTTGGAGACAAAAAGGGTGAAGAAGAAGAACTCAGAAGACAAACCAGAGAGGTAAGAGGAAGATCGGGAAAAGAAGGAAGAGGAAGAGAAAGCATAGGGAAAGTAGTGGCAGAGAAAGGAAGAGGAAGAGAGGAAGCAAGAGATGAAGAGTGTGCTGAGAATGAAGGTGAAAGATTGGTCAAATTTGATGAACAGAAAGGAAGAGGAAAAGAAGATGATAAAGCAAGAGAGAAGAGTGAAAGACCTTCAACCTGGGAAGAGATTTCAAAGCACAGAGATGAAGCTCAAAAGGAAACAAAGGAGAGATATGAAAGAGCAAAACAAGCAGCAAGCGAGACAGTGAACAACACAACACAAACTGCACTAGAGAAAAGTGCACAGGCAAAGGACATTGCAATGGAGAAGGCATCACAAGCCAAGGATACAACAATGGAGAAGGGTAAACAAGGCTATGCAACAACCAAAGACACCATCAAAGGTGCTGCAAAAACTGCTGTGGAATACACTGCACCAGTGGCAGAGAAGGCCAAAGGTTACACCATTCAAGCTGCAGAGAAGGCCAAGGATGTTACCGTGGGAAGTGGCAAGACTGCAGCTGAATATGCCGGAAAAGTGGCTGCGGATATCAAGGACAAGGCCACCGTGGCAGGGTGGACGGCGGCGAATTATTCGGCTGAGAAGACGGTGGAGGGAACCAAAGCGGCGGTCAATGTTGTTGGGGGAGCAACAGGGTATGCAGGTAATAAGGCTGCTGAGCTTGCTGCAAAATCTGTGGGTGCTGTTAAAGGCTTAGCTGCTTCAGCTGGTGAAACTGCTAAGGAGTACACAGCAAGGAAGAAAGAGGAGGCAAAGAGGGAATTGGAGGCAAAAAGAGCATCTCAAAATCAGGTTCTATTTTATATAATGATTATAATTTATAATCACTCTATGCTTTTGTTGTGTCCTTAATTAGATACCTTATATAATGGACTACTTACTTTTAATACCCCATGAAGCTTAAGATAGAATAAAGTTTGATTCAGCTGATCCAAATAACTGTGGCAATAACATAAGTTAGTAATGAATTTAAAATGATTATTGCTAGCAAGTTCTATGGATTTGAAGTGTTTGTGGGACTTTTTTCTAAGGCCAGTTGTCTACAGTTATCCTTTTTTCACTAACTACGATCGGTTGTTTTTTTTCTCTTTCCCTCTGATGTGGCGGAGAGAGAAAATACAATTTTAATGTATATCCGGTAGAGAACTTTATCTAAATTCACTGCTTTGATGTTCTTGGAGACTAAGAGTTAACACTTTGATTTAGGAAGGTGAGGAGAGACCATCAGAGGGTGTTGGCGAAACTGTAAGCCAGTATGCACAAAAAATGAAACCAAGTGGGGAAAGCTTTGAGAGAGGGCAAGCACAAGGTAGTAATCAAGAGGGGAAGGGAAGCAATGTGTTGAGCAATGTAGCGGAGCAAGGTCAAGAAGGACAAGGGGGTGGTGTGTTGAGTGCTATTGGCGAAGCCATATCAGAAATTGCGCAGACAACTAAATCAATGGTTATTGGTGACGACAAAGGAGAGTCAAGGCAGAGCTTTGGGTCACATGAAGGTGATCAAGCACCAAAGAGTGTTTGAGTCTATTTAAACAGTGTGTTTCGTGGAGGTTTTATAATCTGTATCATGCTTAGCTGTGAGTTTGATGTTTTGGTTTTGTTCCATGGAGTTGTGAATAAATAAGAATCTCCTTTTTGAGATTCCAAAGAAGAGTACAAATATGTATGTCTATTTCTTTTTGTAATCAATGGAAGTTTTGTTTCTCTAAACATAATGAATTTACTGTTGATGCAATTTGTGGCCTAACACTCAAATTGACGCGGAATTAATATGTTATAAAAGAATTTACCAAAAATGGAAGCTCTTGTTTTCTCAATTTATCTTATTTTAAAGAGAATCTGTCTGTATCAACTTGGGAAAAAAACAAAAAAAGGATTGAAGGAATTCAGAGTAATGTACTATAGGCTTCCATTGTACAAGTTTATGTCAATGAACAAGAATAATTATTGGATAATACCCTGTTCGATTCAAACAGAAAAATAATGACTACTTGCCTTTAAATTTATGTATGAACTTTCAAGAGTCCCAAATGGGGCCAAAGGCAGGGATCTTAGCCCTCTTGCATGCTCTAAGGACATCTCTACTTCCTTCAGGGTTGCTAGTAACAATAACCACTTCAACATTCCACCTAATAGCAGCATCCACACTCATCTCAGCCACATTGGGGCGACCTGAAATTGCCGTGTCATGAACTATCACTTTGTCCTTTGAATATTTATTCACCAAATCACTTATCTCCTTTCCAAAGTTCAATTCAATATCCTTTGCCACCCATATTAAGCATACATCAGCTTGGCTTGGCTGCAATAAAAATGATAAGAACACACAAATTCCAGAGCCTGTGGCCACTAACAACACCCTTTGATACAAATTCACTAGGTAAGGCAAGCCTGCAAAATGCATTGTGCGAACCCAAAGATGCTTTGGTGGGGTAGAAATCAAGGACTTGGTAAAGTCACCAACTGCACCAGCAAGTATCATGTGCTCTTTCTTTCCATCAGATATGATTCCAAAAGCATGCCATTCTGAAAAGGGTGATGGACTTATTCTACCTAGTAACCCTGCTTGAACACCACCTTCAAACTTTATGATTGAAGCATGGCCTGATGGTGCTGATACACTAACTGGTACCTTTCTAATAGTTAACCAAGGAATGACAATGAGAATTGTGATGGCTAAAGTGAACCAAAATTCTTGCTTCTTGACCACCATAGATATGGTCAAGTTATAGGTATGTGAATTGGGTTCATAACTTAAAGAAAGAAGAATGAATAACCAGAGAAGGATGAGGGCCATCCAACCTGCAAATCGGTGTGTACGCTCAAAAACATTGTGATGAAGAAGGCGTACAAGAGGGAAAGCTGCAAGTGAAGAGAGTGAAATGAGTGATAGTATGGTAAATGCAACCCCAATAATCTCTGGGGAAGATTTGTCTTTGTTTTTCATAGTAAGAACTAGAGAATAAACAAGCCAGGCTATAGAAGAAACACCACAGCCACTATGAATTCCTCCAAGGCTTTGAAGGAATGAAGTGGTGGCAGTTTTGATTCTAAGAGAAACACAAGGCCTCCCAATAGTTTTCACACACAACCAAAAAACCACTCTCAAGGCTGCTTCACTTCTACACAATGTTAGAGCTAGAATGTTTCCAATGGAGAATAGTGCAGCTTTGGTCTTGGCATATGGGAAATACCCTGCAGCTGAAAGAGTCAATGCCACCACATTCAAGATCATGCAAACAAGAAATAGCCCTTTGTAAACTGTGAACCCTTGATCTAGCAGAATTATGGATAGCCTTGAACTCCTTGGTGGATCAGATTTGGGTAGTAGCTTCTGTGCCTTAACCCCAATAGCTTTTTCTGGTTTTTCTATATCTTGAACTTCAGCTAGGAACTCTATTACCTCAACATCATCAGCATCAATGTCAATGTCACAGAAGTGGCTGCTAGTCCTACTCCGATTTGGACTAATTGTATTAGGCTGAGGAAGAACTTTGAATGAACTGGTTCGAGTCCATGGGAGCCAAAGCCAAGTGTGAGTTCGATCCTGCTTTGTTGGTGGTGATCCAATTGCAAAAGGGTTGCTTCTGTTAGGATTGATCTCAAATGCCACCCCACGACAACTTGTAAACCTGGCTATCTTCATCTCTGTACCTTCCATTTCTTCCATGGTGAATTGATAATCTGTCGGCTTGAATATAACAATAATGATAGCTAGATAATCTCATTACACAGTACAGCTATAGCTAGTGGAGTTCCATATGCAGGTTACATATCACCTCCTAGATAATCTATATATAAAGAGTAATGCTAAATCCTCTTGAAACAATTAGCGTAAGATTCTTTTATTTAAATGAAGTGTTTTATGTTTGTTATATTACATAACATAACTCTACTTTCTTACATACACATCAAAGAGGTGGGGTCCACATATTTTTTTCTCTCTTTCATCATCTCACTTTCTCTCTCTGCTTTGTTGTGTAAACGAAAGTAAAGTTATGTTTTGTAACATAACAAACATAAAAGCCTTAAATGAAAAGGTAAACTTTTTTGATAAGGAGGGTACAAATCAATGATTTGCAGTATAATAATAACGAAAACCATTTTGTTATGCTGTTGGAAAAGAAAATCTCTCTTGCAAAAAAAAAAAAAACGATGTACTAAGGATAGTTGGGGTGTTAATCGGCCGAGCCGGGAATATATTAGACTGGCCTAGCTTGTAACATGTTATGAATATAATTATCGGCTTCTGGCCTGATTTATTTACAAAATATAAAAGTCTGGGCTTAACCTGTTAAAAAAAAAAGACAACAAAAATTTATCAAAACCCAACATACAATCAACAACACTAATAGTTCCACAAAATCTCATAAATTCAATGTATATTCAAATAACATAATATAGAATAAAATCATTCAAAAAACCTGCTTAACCAATAAACTAAATCATTCAAAATCATATTATCTAAAAAAAGCAGCAAAATAATAATAATAAGAATAATAATACATCCATTTTTTTCAACTATTACATATGAAAAATGAACAGGGCCAGCAATCAGGAATCAAAAAACGTTAAATCGTCTGCAAATAAATCAGAGTTAACATTACACAAAAATATATCAATAATAGCATAAGAGAGACCACCGAGAGACCTTCAACAAGAGAGAAAGGTGAAATGCTCGGAGCTAGATGACAAAAATCGAAAGGAAAAACGATGGTGAAATATTTGGAGATGGCTTTGATGAAGAGAATGACGAAGTTGGAGAATGGTTGCTTGATGGTTTGAGTGGGATGGGCGTGACGATGAGAGTGAAAATTAGTTTAGTATAAAAAATAAAAATAAAAAAGTTAGTAGACCAACCTGACGATCTTTAAGGTGAGACTTTTGAATTGAAGCATGATACATTTTTAGTAAATAAACTATTATACAAGTCTAAGTTTAGATCCAATAACTAAAACACACAGACCAGACCAGGACTATACAAGCCGGGTCATAGGCTCCCGAAAGGCCCTTGGCTCCTTTAACACCCATATGTAGTACATAGTTATAATATTAAAGCGGTTTTTTTCTCTATTCTTATATTGTCGATTGACATAGAGGAGAGAGAAAAATAATTTTACCATTATAACTTTGTACTAACTTTAGTACAGAGTTATTTTTTTTCAGGAGATAATTCTCTTATGCAATATGAAAAAAATTATATTCTAATAATAATATTTTATTTTTATAACAGAGGAATATATATAATAATAATATGATAAGAAGGGTATGTGTCAATTATTCATTTTGTAATAACGAGTGTACTTTTTGGGAAATGAGAAATGTTTCTTCAATATCTGAAATTATATAACAACGTGCATGTATCGATTTCGATAATAAGTTTTTCAAAGAAAAAAAATATTGTGAATCCTGACACACCGAAGACAGATTATGATGCTAATTAATTACATAGGAAAAAATATTAAAAGCAAAAGCATTTAATAAGGAGGGCATATATAAAATCATTCATGCTATAATAAGAAGTGTATGATAAGGATTCTGTAGTTATCCACTATAATCTCTTGGAAATAAGCGCACTCAAGATTTTAGTCGATTTAGCATGTGGACAAGCATTAAAAAAATGTACACCTAAGACAGACCCTGCTTCTCTAATTGCTAGCAATTTTTACCATCAACAATTATGTTAATGGTTTCTTCTCTCGTATATCAACTTCAATTAGATGTGGTCTTAATTTCCTTATACCTGTCAAGATATGAAATATATTTTGCTAGAATATTAAACAAAGGAACGAGGACTGCACGTTCGAATGTGCCTGGGCAAATATCTCAAACCTATTATATAGCCGCAGAATCTTTGTGATATTGCTGGTAAAGTCTTATAAACGTTGCATTATTGTGGTTCATCACAAGAGAAACCTCTGGTAAAGGAGACATTTTTTTTACTAAGTAAATACAATTACTAGGAAAATGAGTTTGGTAAGAAAATTAAAAAAAATTATTTGGTTGGTGAAAATTTTACCGAAAAAATTGAGTTAGAAGAGGTAGTATTGTTATCATCACTTTTTTCTCACTTGCTCAGCTATATATGCAAATACTATGTTCAAGTTGGAAAACTTCAACAGTGCATTTTGTGCATTTTTGCACTTGATTCTCAATTGCTAGGCAAAAGAGATTGGTGGGCAAATTTTTATAAACCCTCTACCAAACAAAGACATCAATTCCCAAACTCAAATAGATGGGCATCTCCACCAAAAACTTCAACCAAACACTACCTTTAAGAGTTCTCATTCTATATACTGACATTATCTTGAGGAAACTTGTTAGAAATTTTCTCGACAAATGAAACAAACAAAGCTAAATCCTATCTGGAAACAATGATAAACATGTATCAACTTGTCAAAAATGAAGATAATATATTTCTTTTTTCTTTTAAATGTGAGTTCCTCTTATAGTACGTGGTATTCTTAACTCCCGACCACAATTTTCAGTGTACTAATCGGATATATTAGTTTCAATACAACTTCGTGGAACGTGGTTGATGTCACTTTGTATTATATTGTCGGCAAACATGAAAAATAATCATATTAGAAAAGAAAGAAGAAAAAAATGGTGCATAATTAAAATTTCATGAATGTTATAGTTTGACATGAATTTGATTTAGTATATAAGTTTAAGGTAGTTTCCAAAACAGATTTTCTCACTGTATATTATTGGTTAATTTAAATCAAGTAGGTTTCACCAATTTTTAAAAATTACACAAATAAAACATGTCATTCCTATTACTTCCATTATTTACCTCAACTTGTTATGTAAAATTTACTTGTTATCAAAGAATTAATATTCAGAAAACTGTACCATATTTTAGGTTTTACTTTGGAATTTATTATTTTTAAAAGAAATTGTTTGAATAATTATTCTTAAAGTGTATAATTACAACTAAATAATATGATAACGGTTAAAAAAACATAGGATAACAAAAAATATGATGGCATAAACATTTTCAAAATAATTTTTTTAAAAAAAAGTATTTTTTATATTGTTGTATTGACGTAAAATGTCCAATTTCATGAATGCAATTGTTCATTTTTCAACACCATGTTTTCCAATTGGTTGGTGATCTGGATAAAATATAATAGGCTCACTAAAGGCTAAAATCCAAAATGTTAAGGCCCAAAACATAGGGCTCGAACAGAGCGCGATATCTCCATCGCGCATAACGAATCGGGGGACGCGATGGCTTCATCGCGCCCAGACTGCCTTTAAACATGACTTCAGAACTAAGGAATAAATCAAATAAAGCACGGATAAGAAGCCACCGCGTCACGGAACCAATACGTAAAGGACAACTCCAACTTGCCACCACTCTACCAAGATAGCTCGACATAATAGAGATAAGGGCAGAAAGACACTAGCTGAACCTGCAGCCCATAAACAGCCAATCAGAAGGCATATCGCCTACCAAAGGCGGCATTAGATTCACTATATAAACAAAAGGTATATATCAGGTATGACAATCTAATTCAGTAAGAATACCACTCAAACCTAGCTCTGATACTGACTTGAGCGTCAGAGTGTATAATAACCCTTACTAGTAATTGTAGATTTAATATCGAAGAATAATTAGAAGTAAAAGAAATAAAGTTACCTTTGGTGAAAAAGGAGTTAAAATGACAGTTAAGGAGTAAAAATGCAGGTAAATAAAGTTACCCGAAAGTAAAAATTATAAATATTACCATAAAAATATTCTGGACCAGTGTGCAAAATTTGGTATGGAATGGAGGTGTGTAGATAAATAAACATTTACTCAGTTGAATTTAACACTACCTATATAAGTGAAATTTCAAAAAAAAAAAAAGGATACAACCCCGTCTTCTTCTTCCTCTCGGACAGAACCGTGGCCTTGGTGTGCTTCCAGGGCTAGGAATTCATTTCTTCTACAAGCTATTTCCACACAATGTGCATTTCATAAAAATTGTAGTGCAACCTCTTGTGATAAAAACTCAAGCCTCCTTTCTCTTTGGGAAGCATTGAATCAAGAGATCTCCTCTCCTTTCCATTTTTGTGTATTGTTCATGGCTGAAGAAAAAAATGATGTTTTGCTATGATTTAAGCTTGAAGATTAACATTTGGTTGGTGTAGGACTTATCCAAGGTAAGAAACTCCATTTGTAATTGTTGAATCCTTGAATTTAAGCTTTAGGTTTTTATGAAAATATTGTTGGAATTTTGTATGTTGAAGAGTATGAATGGTAGTATGTTTTGATGATGAAATATCTATATTGATGTTTGTGGGTTGATTAAATCAATTAGAAGTCAAGAAAGCATAGAAAAATTGCATGAGTTTCCTAACCTATTGTCGGCCATGAAGAGAAAAGCACGCTTGAAATGTGTTCAATGTTGTTTCAATGATGCTTATGAATCCTTAGATAGGTTGGTGTTGAATGGATTAATTAGTTAAACTTGGAAGAACCCTTTTGTACCATTTTCAGCCATGTAGGAAAAAAAAGCATGTTGAAAGGTTGTTAGCATTGCTTTAATAATGGGTAGTGTATATTGATTGATGTAATGTACCATGGATGCAAGTATAAACAATGGAAAACATAAAATCCCATAGACTCCCTATAGGTGCATTTTCGGCCCTTTGAAGCAAAAAAAAAATCACTTGAGAATG